AAATTTTTTCGCAGAAGTATTTCAAATAACATTTAGATTCGTTTTGGTGGTAAAAAAAAATTTGGGGGTTGAGTACACTTTAACTATTACATTGTATTGTAAGTAAGTAGTGTGCTGTAATATTACCATTATCCTCTTTTTATTTTGTTTATTCATTTTTTCTTCCTATGTATATTGTGTTTGTAAATATATATATATTTCTAAACTTTTATTTATCGAAAAGTAAGACAGAATTAGTCATGTTTCGTCCGTCCGGTGCTACTTTTTTCTTTTCTATCAAACAGTTGGATGATAAACACGACGCGGCTCGTAAGACTCATTTTATTCGAAATGTCTACGGGCACAAAACAAACACTTCAGTCGCAGAAACATGTTTATTAGCACATTGTTCAAGAGATTTGTAATTTAGACACCGAAAATTACAATTTCCGGAGCTCGTGCTGTTTTTAGTAGTTAGAGAAGCTTTCCCCACTTCGATCTTGTAGATAGTCTAAAAGAAAGACGACTCTTTAAGCGCTGATTAAAAAGCCAGTGAAAGTATAATTTCTATTTGTAAAATAAGAGAATTTCCGAGAAGAGGGCCAAAATGTTGTTATTCTACAGTTACAAAAAATGCCTCACAGAGCGTCAAAAAATTAACAAATATTCCTCATTCGTTATTTGATTAAGACTCACCTTCACAGAAGACCAAATGAGTTGCAAGAAAGACAAAACATAGAATTAATTGCTCCATAGAGACATGTACACGATCCAAGTATCGAAGAAAAAAGTTCGGCGTTTAAGCAGTGATTAACGATTCTCAAGAAGGAAAATTTCTTTTCTAATAAACAGTATGCGTGTGGAATATTTGAAAATAGACCTTTCCACGCAGTCACCTGCGCTGTCAAACTAATGATATCACATCTTTGTCTGTTATTTCATTTATATTAGCTATTTATATTAGCCGTAGGATTAACAATCGACTTTTCAGCATATTGCGAAAATGTGTAGCATTGCTTTCAGTTGCATTTAGCATAAAAATTCTATTTTACAAATTAACATTGACAATCCGAGATATCAGCAGAAATTCGTGTACTCGTAGAACCAAGAAAGGTTAGTAATCGGAATTTATCTGACGTCTACCTGTTTTAAAATCAAACAGGATCCAATACCAGTGGGAAATTGACAATAATCTTTATGTCAACCGTGGAAATCAGACACGATAATATTTAAATCTAGATTTAATTCCTTTCACGACAAGCAGAAGCACGTTTTAGGGTTGGAATGTTAACTCCTTTTCCCAAACAAAGATTTCAGTACTTTTTTATAACCACTGGGTTCGAAGGCCTTTGTTTGCCCTGGGAAACTTTTCTCGTGATCGCCAAGGAAAGTGAGAATTTGTCACAAAATTTGTCAAAGTCGAGAAAGATTGATGTTTTAATTTAATAAATTTTGTGAGTAAAGGTGACCGAATTTATTTATTGTCCTTAGGTTTTTCTTGTATTATTTACTTATTGACTGAGTGGGAGCGCCGGCGAGAAAATATTTAGCTCGAAGTCAGGAAGTACGAACCGAACATAGCCAGGTCCGTCCGTGCGTCCTGACCGAGAGCCAAATATTTTTGTCCAGCCATATCTTACTCAGTCAATCTTATCCTTTGACAGTTTTGTTTTTGTGTTTTGGTTTAATATTTCTCTCGAACGGAACAGAGACCCGCTCATGGCAGCATTTGCTTCGCCTCGCATTTACGAACAGCCAATAATTTCAGATCATTTCACGCTATGATCATTTGTAAGCCTGTTTGTAAGTTGGTCAGTAAAAGAAAAAGGAAAAAAAACCGACCCGAATTCGTTTGATTAAATGCCGAGGCATTGCGCTAATTGCTCCATTACGTCGATAGTACAGTCCTAATCACGTGTCACGTGACCGAATCGTAATTTCCGGTATGGCTTTCAATGACAAGTATAAAATTTCCTATTTATTCTTCTGGTCTCAAAGCATTTCGAAATGTCGTTGACTAGAATTCATTGTTATTAGTTTGAACAATACCGTACATTTACTTTCTTTTGAATATATCTGTTTCTCTGGATATTATTAGTCGAATTTGTTTTGCAACTAGCTTGACTTTTTTTCGTAGCCGAAGAGAAACTGTAGTAGAAACATGATGTTTCTACATGTTGTTTGAAATCACTGGTGATTCTTACATTCTGATTGGCTCTCAGCAGAGCGATTTATTCCCTGGTTGCACTAATTTTTGCTCTAAAGGGCATCTTTCTCTGTTTTACATACAACATAACAGGTAAAAGAGTTTCAGGTTCTGCTTATAACAAACCGGCTAATGGATCAATAAACTATTGATTATGACCAAAATCCTGTATTTAGGTGATGAAATTGAGAAGTAGTTTTAGAAGAAGAATTTTTATCGGAAGAAACAAAAGATTATTCTCTTGGAAGTAGTCTCTTTGCCCTCCAGTCACGCTCCAGTGGTTTTCCATACAAATCCTTGTTATTTTTCAAGTTTTCAAACTACCATAAAATCTCTGCCTTTCGGTTTAAGAGCCTAATATTGCACTCTTCTTTTTATGTCCAATTTGTATATATTAGTAATCTATATGCTAGTGTTTATATGCCAAGGTTTTAAAGTTTCTGGAGCCGTGAACGGTCCCTCTCAGCTGTCCGTATTGTAAAATTTGGACTGCTATGGGAATCAATCAGGGTCCCTCTTGTCATAGCGGACCAGTTCAGCATATAAGAAACATTTGTTTTACTCAAGCCTTCTACCAGGAAATTGGCACACAAAAGGCGATTTTTACAGAGGGGAGAGTTTCAAGGTTAAAGTGTTACGATACGTAATCAGGTCACTTACCATGTCCAAGTGCTGACTTTCTTAATGAGTGCTCGATTGAAATGCTAGAAAACACGTCGACTATGTCAAAATTAATTGACGTTTGTGTCCAAATGGCCCAGTCCATGCCCAACGACGTTGCAGGGATAAATAGCTCTCTTGAAATGCAGTAAGTTGGTAATTTATGTTCATGACTCATATTCATAAAAAGATACATGTGCTTTATATAAACCAATATCAAGTGTCCTGTCGTCAGATTGCAAGATAAAATTAATGTTGTTTTAATCTCCCTGCTGTGCATTTCATGCTCTTAAACAAGAGCTCTTTAATATTTTCCCTAATTTTCACGTAGATTAATTTGTCGTGAAACTCATTTCAGTCCATGAATTGCAGCTTGTTCACTTTATATTTAACTATAATTGTTATCGCTAATAACTATATCGTAGTCGAATTCTTGTTGGTAAAGGTGCGTTTAGCTCATCAAACTATGAATAATTCAATAGGATTTAAGCGTGGGTGTTTTGATAGAAAACGAGAGCCAAGAGCAACATAGAACTCGTACGCCTCTTTGGCTGTTTTACTCTCTTTCTCGCGTAAGAATTTATCACGACGTGTTCGCACTTAAACCTTGTAAACTAAAACCTTGGTGATTGCACCAGAAGATTTACCAAAGTTAATAAATTAAACACGTTTAGTCTTTTTAATTATGATTTAATCATTTTTTAACACGTTTGTCTATGCCGCGTCCACTCAATGCGAAACGTTTTTTTTAGCAACAATGTGGTAGTTATGTGAAATAAAGAATGTTTGGTCTACCTGCTGTATATACATTTCTTTTCTTTTTTTTAATATATGACAACCTGGCTTAAGGTAATTGCTATCCATACAGGACGATTTACAGAGAAGAGAGTGAAGTCCAGAGACAAAAAGGTAAATTCCATTGTGATTGATATAGACTTGAGTACCTTATTTAGTGACCAGTTGCACGATTGAAAGGATTTCAAGATGAAACTCTGCTTAGCTTATGAACAAAAATTCCTTGCATTCTAAACAACATCAATCTCCAAACATTTTGCTACACATGGTAAGGCAGTGTCCACACTACACAGGAGAAATTTAAAACGCAGCTTTACTTCTA